GGGTAAGCAGCAACAACAACAACAACAACAGCATCAAGTCTTTATCCCACTATGTGGGGTCGGCTACATGAATCCTTTTTCTCCATTGTGTCCTATTAAAAGTCAAATTCTCGTTTAAATCTAATAAAGAAAGGTCATTCCTAATATTTTCTAACCAGGTCTTTTTAGGTCTACCCCTACCTTTCTTAATATAAGTCAAATCTAATACCTCTACTCTCTTAACTGGGTCGTCGGAAGGCCGCCTTTTTATGTGACCAAACCATCTAAGGCGACTTTCTCTAATCTTATCTTCTATTGGAGCTACTCCAACCTTTTCACGTATATGCTCATTTCGTATCCTATCTCTAAGGGTAAAGCCACTCATCCACCTGAGCATCCTCATCTCTGTCACACTTAACTTAGTATTATGCTTCTCTTTTAATGGCCAACATTCGGCACCATAAAGCATTGCAGGCCTCACTACCATCTTATAGAATTTTCCCTTAAGTTTGAGGGGTACATTTCTATCACATAACAAGCCCGATGCATTCCTCCACTTCAACCATCCAACTTGAATTCTGTTGATAATATCCCCATCTATTTCACCATCACTCTGAACAATAGATCCAAGATATCTAAAACGTGTACTCTTATTAATGACTTGATTGCCCAAAGTCACAATCCCCTCACTAGGTCTATTACTACTAAACTTACACTCCATATATTCCGTTTTAGATCTACTCAAGTGAAAACCTTTAGACTCTAAGGTTGACCTCCATAATTCAAGTTTACCTTCAACTCCCTCTCTAGTCTTATCAACAAGAAGAATATCATCAGCAAAAAGCATACACCAAGGTACATCATCTTGCAAATGTCTAGTGAGAACATCCATGACTAAAGCAAATAGATATGGGCTTAAGGCTGATCCTTGATGTAACCCAACCGAAATAGGGAAATACTTGGTCAATCGACCTTGTGTTTGAACACATGTAATAGCTCCTGCATACATATCTTTAATGATTTGAATATAAGCATTATTGACTCCTTTCTTTTCAAGAACTCTCCATAGCACTTCTCTTGGAACTTTATCATATGCTTTTTCTAAATCAATAAATATCATATGTAGATCCTCCTTATTTTCTCTATATTTCTCCATCAAACCTCTTAATAAATGTATGGCTTTTATAGTCGACCTACCCGGCATGAATCCAATTTGATTTTGAGAAACATTAGTATCACGCGGCAACCTATGCTATATAACTCGCTCCCATAGTTTTAAAGTATGACACATTAACTTAATACCTCTATAATTCGCACAATCTTATGCGTCACCTTTATTCTTAAAAATATGAATTAACACACTCATTCTCCACTCATTTGGCATCTTTTTAGTCTTCAAAATAGTATTAAAAAGTTTAGTAAGCCATGAAATTCCTTCATCTCCTAAGCATTTCCACACCTCTATTGGAATATCATCAGGTCCAACAGCTTTTCCACCCTTCATTTTCTTTAAAGCCTCTCTAACTTCAGTTTTACTAATACGCCGATAAAAACATAAATCTTTATTTTCATTTAGGGTGCTAAGGTCACTATAATCAATCTTATTTTCATAATCTCATTAAAAAGTTTAGCAAAATATCTCATCCATCTTTGTTGAATATCATCTTCTAAGAAAAGTATTTTTTGATCTTCATCTTTAATACACTTCACTTGAACTAAATCCTTACTACTCCTATCTCTTTGTTTGGCTAACTTATACATATATCTTTCTCCCTCTTTGGTATCTAATCTATTATATAAATTACTAAAAACTAATGCCTTTGCATCGCATATTGCTTTCTTAGCATCCTTACGAGCCACTTTATATATTTCCCAATTGTCATAATTTTTAAAATTAAATATAATGATTTTTTTTGTTATTAATTTTTTATTTTATTTTAGATTATATCTAATGTAATATTAACTGGTATAGGGTATAAAAAATATTGTAATTAAAGAAGATTTTAAAGATGACTTCGACACAAATTACGAGGATTCTTCTAAAAAATATCAAAGAAAAGAAGAGGCTGCCATGGGTTTTGATCCTTAGGGTATATTTAAGCTTGAGAAAATGATCAAAATGATCCATTGACTCTTTATGAATGATCAAAATGGTTTCCAACTATATTAAAGAACTATTTTAATATCTCAAATTTTTAAAACGGAATAAAAAATTCAAAATAGTTCAATGGTTCCTTTTTAAGGAGTTGAGAGACCAAAATGGTCATTTAATATAATTGAGGACAATTTTGATCTTTTATAAAAAGTTAATGGGCCATTTTGGTCATATTCTCATTTAAGTTTTAAGTGACTTTTAATTTGAATCTATTTTCAACCTTGTGTTATTATAACATTTATTTTCAAAAAAGTCATTAGGTTGATGGTTTATTTCGTTTTTTAATATGTTATGGGTTATTTATAATTTTATTATTATTTTTTTTATTTTGAGGCTTATGCTTCGCCTCGTTAATACAAAACATCTTGATTTTCGATTTCGCCTTTTTAAACCTTGAGATAAAATGAGAATATTTAGATTGATGAGTGGTAAAACTGGGGAGTAAGTGAAATTGTTATGCTAGGGAGAACAATAGTAACACATTTTGAAGAAAGAATAATAAAAGATTGGATGGCTTAATCATGAATAATAAAAGATGAACTAATACAAGCATAAAAAATGTGAAAGTCTAAAGAAGACAAAAGGGTGGTGCAAAAAGAAGAAAGGCTAGAAGTTCTGAAAAAAAAAAAAACTTGCACACATAAAGTAAACACTTCTTGTGGCAGTCTATAGCATTGAAGATTCATAAAACCAACCCCATGTAGTTGACAAGGGATAAGGCTAAAAATGATGACGATGCTATGTAAAGAAAGATGGAGCAGATGTAACAAAATATTTAATCATTAAAAAAAAATTCTTATAAGCCTCATTTCTTCTCCCTAACTCTGTTTCTTGTGTTAGATACTACGAAATGAATAGATATAACCAAAGAGAGTGAGTGAGAAAGAGAGATGATGGTTACTACAAAGAAAAATGGACTACATCAGACAAATTAGACAAGGTTTAATAACACGTCAAAATTCTAATCCAATAAATACTTACTAAGTTCCCTTTTCTTAATCAAGTTCCAATTGACATCAAAATAAGTCTAAACACTGTTCATTCTGAGAAATGATACAGTGAAATCAATTTCTTTACAAACAAGAGTTTGGCAGTTAAACTAAAACAAACCTGCTGCCACGCTTGAATAGCCTGACCCCTCTTATCCATTCTACCAATTAAGGAGTCTCTTATAAGTGGAGGGAAGTATCTTAACGTCTTTTCTGACCATGTATGCTGACTAGTTGCCATTATTTGCTCCAACAAGGGTTGAAGATAAACCATCTGTTCAACCTCGGCAATACCCCGTGTTTTGATAGTGATAGCAAGACTAATAATTGTCATTCGATTTAGCGTTTCAGTAAATTCAGTAGGCCCCTGAAACAACAAGCCTTTATAAGAAAAGAACCTTTTATTCACAACTTAAAAATAAATAACAAAAAACTGTTAATACATGAATAAAACTCTTATAGAAAAAAAAAGAGGATAAATTTTCTCACCTTTAACTCTTTCTTCACTAGGAAAAAGTCCCTTATTGAAAGGATCAAATTCATACATAAATTCTCCGCTAGTCTGAAGAGTCGGTGTTCTCCACGTTTACCCTTTATCATTGATATAATCTTTGTCACATCATACATCAAAGCCTTGTTCTTGCCATGGTACCTGGGAAGAATTCGCAGAAATATTAATATGCAGGCTGTGGAGCACAAGTTAACAGAGTATAAATTACTGAAAGTGGTCATGATTCTCAATAAGAAAGGCAATTAACCCAATACAGGAGAAGATGCATTTCAGAAATAAAAATGGAAAAGCTGAAATAGTTAATGAAGCCAGAAACTAATACAGAGAGTAAACACCAAGATTTAAAAGATTTATCAGTATAATGTACACCACATTTTACATGCTTTTGAGGATGATAATTGATAACAAGAACTCCAAATCTTCAAGTTTTTTTTTTCAAGCACAATTTAATAACTATAAAACAACATGAGTATGTCAAGATCAATTGCCAAGAATTGCCTGAGAAAAAGAAAATATATAACACAATTAAAGATAACATGATAGTCTAGGATAGTAGGATACAAAACCCCTAGAAACAAAAAGATTACAAAATAAAAGCTCATTTAGACTGCCTCTTTGATAGCTTGCTGAAGATAAGTGAATGATGGTAGTTTTTTTTTTTAATTCCTGCCTTTATATGATAAATAGCTATAAAACCTTATCCATTAGAGAGCCAACACCATGGATGCTCGCATATGAGTTTTAATGCTGCTGAATGTCTTGATCATCATTTTGTTCACATATTGGAAGAAGGTTAGGTGTTGCATTAATAAGTGGAGCAGGACTGCAAGATTAATGTGATGGTTGAAGCTACCGTGGTGATCATCACAGCAGGGTTTTTAGGTGCAGAAAAAGATCACCTGAGTTAAAAGAATCATCTAAAATTAGTTCCAAGATTTGATTGCATATCTGAACTAATACAAGAGATGCTTCCATATTGTCTAGTCGACTCTGATCACTTGATTGTGCCTCTTATGATTGATAATTTGATTTCTTCTTCTTTGGCTGAGCCTTGAAACATTCAATGAAATTATACCCAAATTTTTTATAGGATGAACAATATGCTAGAATGACTTCAAATACAACCCTTTGCCAATACCCACAAGTCGAGAAGCTAATCCACACTTCCTTAGATAATCGAGAAGGAACATCTAGTTAAAATAGAACTTTGGCCACAAAGACCTTGAAAGAAAAGCAATAGTATTATCCACTAACAAAGATTTGTCAAATTTATAACCTTCAGAATATTAAGTGATTTGATTGAAGCATTGCAAACGAAGCCGGGGAAATGCAATTCACATGGAGTGATATATAGTTTCTCAGAAGAAAAAAAATGGGACAACTTAGAAAATCACTGATGCAGTAGGACCACCAAAAGAGAAGTATGCTTAGTCTGCTTTTGAAAGGTGTCTAATAATATTAAGGCGAGGGACAATGAGCCCAACGGAATGGTCACCAACTAAATGCAAGTTAGCCATAAATTTTGCGTATGATCACTAGAATACTAGATCGGGGCGGCCAATCAAAAATTCACCAACAATAGAGAAATAGAGAGGCTTAGCAAGTTTTGATATGTGGAAGGATGCCTAGAAGGAGGTGATACTAAATCTTGATTAAAAAATAAAGGAAATTAGTTGCTTGGTGCAGAGGAATGAAATCATGGATCATTTTACGCACCAGCAACATTAGCAAATGAACAAGGGTAGGGAGGTAGACGTAGGGGTGTAAACAAGTCAAGCTCAAGTCATGCCTAACTCGAGCTCGACTCGTCAGCCAAATCCTGAGCTCGAACTCGAGTAGAGATCAAAAGGCGAGTTCGAGCTCGGTTCGTGGCACTGAAAATGAGCTCGTGAGCCGCTCGTGAGACCACACCCTCACGTGATATCGTCAGAGAGGAGAGAAAGAACTATACCGCCAGAGAAGGAAGGAGTTTAGTCATAGCGTGTTGTCCCCAGCTCGTGATTTGGCAAAGTCCCGAACTCTCGCGTGAGAAGGTCAGATGAGGTATATTTTTTACTTTTTTTTAACTGCTTTGAAATTATAATTGAAGCTGCATTCCTATTAATGTAAAACAACTTTTCTTTTTGGGAAACATAAATTTATTTGAAATCAACTATTTTTTGGGGAATAGCTGGCTACTTTATCATTATCAATTAATTTTTTAAGAGAAAAAATTCATTTACTGATTTATCTAAGAAAAAAATAGTTATAAAAATTATGAGCCAGCTTGCGAGCCGAGCCTCAACAAGCTCGAACTTAAGCTCATTTAATAGACGAGCTCGAATTTCAGCTCGAGCTCGAACTCGTGGCTCGATAAGCTCGACTTGGGAGCTTGTTATCGAGTCGAGCTAGAGCCGGCTCGGCTCACGAGCCAGCTCAGCTCACTTACACCCGTAGGTGGAAGCATCGATTCTAAAGATGAAAGTAGAGGAGCCTCGGACAAGTATGGTGTCACTGAGATAGGAGGTGGAAACCAAATTGTGCATTCATCCAAAACCTTAGGAGCCACCAATGTCTAAGGAGGAGGTAAGTTCAATGAAAATTGATGGTGAAGGAGGAGGATCCAAATCAAAAGCTAAATAACTTTGGCATAAACCTGAGCCAAAGGAAGTGAATAAGCATAACATCGAAGCAAGAAGAAGAGCAGAAATTGATAGAAAGTGGGAAAATAATAGGAGGCAATATGATGACCCTAAGTGCAGGAGGAATCGATGACTAATGCCCACTAGAGCGTAAGAGCTGGACGATTCGTATGCCAATTCCATGAGGCATCAACATCAATGATTGAAAAAGCGAGCACAAACCACTAATCAAAACTACACTAAGATCAATTCAATCGCAGCTAGAAAGCCTGATAACAATAGAAATTATAAGCAGTTGGGTCTTGACTCTTGTGCGACCTATGCATACAGGATGTGATAACAACAGAAAATGTAAGCAGTTCGGTCTTGACTCTTGTGCGACCTATGCACACAAGATGTGACGCACATGCTCAACGGACGCAACATAATGATCAGAGAGAGGGCATACCAATCAAGAGCGTGCTTAGACGAGTGTGAGGGGATAAATTGTAGGCTTTTTTGAGTTAGATCTAAAATGTTCTTTCTATTATCCAAATCTTCAAGTTAGGTTGAATTTCAAAAATCTTTTAGGTCAAACAAACTTGAAATAGATTGATTAAGATGTAGCTCAAAATATTTTCAAATTGGATTAAGATTAAGATAAGAAGAATCAAGAAGGAAATGAACTTACTAGGCAAAAACTCAAAATAGAACATTTCTGCCTCCAAATAATAAATAAAATAACTGTGTGCATAATAGTTCAAGGCATGTCAAATCAGATTTTGAGCAAGAAATTATGGGCATTAAGTCCATTCTTTTGACTCCAAAGTTAACCTAACCTTTGAATCGAGTCAAAATCCCAAAGAGAACCAACTTGTGGTATCTTTATCAACCTTAGATATTTTATAAACAGATTCTCAAGGATTATCAATCTCACCTACTAAGAAATCATGTTCCATCAATGTTTTTTCTTGAAATGCCCTATTCATATAAAATGAACCTAATCTACAAGGTTAACATATCATTCATTTTTAATGACCATTTTAAAATGGAGCTATATGGATACTTCATGTACAAACCATAAACACAATATCAATGCTGAACTGAGAGTGTGATAGGTTACACAAAAGTTAAGCTTGGTTATTGATGCAATGCAAGAAATTAGAAAAATTCTAATTTTTGCTTGCAAGAAGAAAACACTTCCTAGGATAAAAGAAAAATACATGAAATGCCCCAAAATAAACAAAATACGACATTTAAAACAAAAACGACTTCACTTTTATAATATAAAAGGACTCTTACAACTCTTGACGCTTACAAACACAAAACAAAGACACCTAAAGGAGCTTGCATTCGTTGAGAAGAAAGATACAGGTGGGGTGGTCACTTGCGGCGAGAAGAAAGAGATTAGAAGCCGAGACGAAACATAGCTCGTAAGCTATAGAGAGAGAAGAGATGGGGGACATAGCTCGCAAGCTATTCCTAAAGAAGAAAAAACCCTCAAGTTTTTTTACTCCAAAAATCAGCACACCACAACCTCTTAAAACATACAAAACACCTTTTATTTATAGGAGAAAAGAGGGCAACCAAACAGCCATTTCACCTCCCACAAAACCAATAAAAGAAGGCCTGAAATAATCCCAAAATAGCACCCAAAAGACAGCACAGAAACCGGATAGAGGAGCCATGGGAAAGCAGCCAGGGAGCAAACCGAAAAGGCAGCACAAGAACCGGATAGAGGAGCCACGGGAAAGCAGCCAGGGAGCAAACCGAAAAAGCAGCACAGGAACTGGGTAGAGGTAGCCACGGGAAACAACAATCAGGGAGAAACCGAGGGGACACAAAGAAGGGGAAAAGGCAAGGTTCCAAACTCCACATAATGAGCTTTCAAGTGCATTAACTCCTCATATCAATGAGCTAACATTAGTTCAAGCATTTATGAGCCAGAACCGAGTAGTTCCCAAGAATTTAGCTCAACAAAACCAAAGCAACCAAGGCTCAATCCAAGAGGCAACCAACAGCTTAAAGACCAAAAGAAGCCAAGTTGTTTAAACCCCACTTTGTCTACATCAATTCTCCTTCGGTTGAAATTGTTCATCTCCTGATGAAGCATGAGTTTGCTTTGAATCTTGTCCTGAGGCTTCCGAAGGCTGATTGCATGGACTATGACTCAGGACTCAAAAACAAAACTCACATTACACTCACATACATGACAACTAACTTGACTCCAAAACCTAGGATATGCTAACTTGCTCTGTTACAAAATTGATGCAAGCAAAAAATTAGAAAAAAAACTAATTTTTGCTTACAAGAATAAAACACTTCCTAGGATAAAAGAAAAATACATGAAATGCCCCAAAATAGACAAAATATGACATTTAAAACAAAAACGACTTCAATTTTATAATAAAAAACAACTCTTACAACTCTTGACGCTTACAAACACAAAACAAAGACACCTAAAGGAGCTTGCATTCGTTGAGAAGAAAGATACAAGCGGGGTGGTCACTTGCGGCGAGAAGAAAGAGATTAGAAGCCGAG